CCAGCAGGCGGAGATTGGGCCAAAACTGGCTCTCTGACATCCCCCTTGGGGTCCCAGAGTACGAGAAGGCACTCTGCAAAGTTTCTGTCGTACAGGGTATGGAGTGCAAATGCAAGTGCGCAATCAACTAGCTTTGGGGCCGACAGTGCTCCAGAAACAACATAACCCACAGCCAAAGGTGAAATGGCGCAGCCCTGTGAGGAATCGGGCTAGCCTCCTCTCTGGTTTCGGGATGTATCATCTGAAAACTGCCGCTGCCAAGTCACTGCAGCTCAGAAGCTCCTGTGTTGAGCATATGCCCCCCTGTGGTCAGTGTGCATCAGATCTACCGGCCAGTAAACCAGTTGTTTAGCCTTATATATATATATAGATTTATATTTTCCCCTAAAGCCTTGATAATATGTATTCTCCTCTTTATAATGGACTAGGGACCCACTGCTTGGATTCGTGCACTGGTGGGGCCTCTTGCACTGGTGTACAATCGGGGCTGGGGAGGGTTCCAGGGCATGTCCAGCTCATCTCGCCTAGTCCTGATTGGCCAGATCCTAGTAGCAAGCTAACCTACCAGTCTGAGTGTCAGCCCCTTGGTGGTCAGTGCGCATCATAGCTACCAGTCGAACAGAGAATGGTAGGATACACACACACACACACACACACACACACACATATGGCAGGAGGGTAGTTTACTGATATTTCTGTATATTCACAATGAAATATTCCTGCATCCATTAATAATAAGCGATTTTCCTTAAGTCCTTCCTCATGCCAAGCACAATGCTAACCATGTTAGTGCATGAACCTGATCCACACTGGTGAAGCTGGAAGGAGTGTTCCCATCACACTGACAGAGAAAGCTCAGAGAGAGGAACTACACTGCTCAAATCCTAGGCCCTTGTGCTAATACCTAGTGAAACCATTTGCAGATCAGTTATTTCAGGTCTCAAACTCTGGGAAATTTATATATATATATATATATTATTGATTTTGTACAGAGAGGAAGGGAGAGAGATAGAGAGTTAGAAACATCAATGAGAGAGAGTCATCGATCAGCTGCCTCTTGCACACCCCCTACTGGGGATATGCCCGCAACCAAGGTACATGCCCTTGACCAGAATCAAACCAGGGACCCTTCAGTCCCCAAGCCGACGCTCTATCCATTGAGCCAAACCGGTCTCAGCTCTGGGCAGTTTTTGCTGAAATTAAATATATCCTATCTAATAAAAGAGCAATATGCAAATTGACTGTCACTCCAAGACACAAGATGGCTGCCCCCATGTGTTCAAAGATGGCAGGCCCCATGACACAAGATGGCCACCTCAAGATGGCCTGGAGGGGAGGACAGTTGTGGGCAGTTTGGGGTGACTGGGCCAGCAGAGAAGGGCAGTTGGGGGGACCAGGAAGCAAGGGAGGGCCGTTGGTGTGGGGGGAGGACCAGGTCAGCAGGAGAGGTCAATTGGGGGGGGGGACCAGGCCTGCAGGGGAGGACAGTTGGAGGGGGGCCAGGTTTTCAGAGGAGTGCAGTTAAGAGTGACCAGACCAGCAGGAGAGGGCAGTTAGGGGTGATCAGGCCTGCAGGGTAGGACAGTTAGGGGCAATCAGACTGGCAGGAGAGGGCAGTTAGGGGTGATCAGGCCAGCAGGGGAGGGCAGTTAAGAGCAATTGGGCCGGCCAGGGAGCAGTTAGGCGTCGATCCAGGCTGGCAGGGGACTGGTTAAGGGCTGTCTAGGTTGGCAGGCAGACCCGGTTAAGAGAAATCAGGCAGAGGCAAGAAAGTGGTTTGGACCCAGCAGTCCTGGATTATGGGATCGGGCCTAAACAGGTAGTTGGACATCCCTCAAGGGGTCTCAGACTGGAAAGGGTGCAGGCTGGACTGAGAGACAACCCCCCCTCCCCGTGCACAAAGTTCATGCACCGGGCCTCTGGTATGACTATAATATCCTTATAAGCATTGAATTTCATAAAGTAGGGGGAAAAAACAAAAAAAATTCTACTGGAACTTCAGAACATTTGAGACTGATTTTCTGAAGGTTTGATGAAAATAGGGTGATCTAAGTTTCTCCCAGGCCACAGTCTCTACATCCCAGTGACATGCAGCCTTTACACACAAAAACAGCCATGATGGTTAGAAATTAATGTAATTATTAGTAAATAGCGTCTGCCCCAAGCACCTTCAAGATCCAACCCACCCAGTAACCCTGTTCTCCTCCCCCAAGACCCTGCAGTCTGAGCTCCCTTTGAGCAACTGTAGCATGAACAGTTGGTGAGGGAAGGGCTCCAGAATCCTGCTCCGGAATGCAGGAGTCCATTCGGATTAGTCAGTCTTCATGACATCCAAAGTATTAAATATTTAATTATCACTCTTGGGTCCTGTTCTAACAGCAACACACAGCAATAGGCAGTCCCCCGACCAGGCATGGCACTCTGCTGTAGAAAGGAAAACCACTGCACTGTGATCTCACAGGCATGTCTGTAAAGATCTGAGGGCATGACTGTCTTGCTCTCGGCACTATACAGGAACCTCATCTTTTGTGATCCTTCATTGCTCTGGGTATATTAAAAGCTAGCATATTTTCCCGCTGGTGTGGCTCCGTGGTTGAGTGTCAACCTATGAACCAGGAGGTCATGGTTTGATCCCCAGTTAGGACACATGCCTCAGTTGAGGGCTCGATTCCCAATATTGGCTGTCTAGGAGGCAGCCGATCAATTGATTCTTTCTCATCATTGATGTTTCTCTCTCTCTTTCCCTCTTTCTCTCTGAAATCAATAAAAATATATAATTTTTAAAAGATAGCATATTTTCTTATATTCTTTCATTAAAAACAAGTACATACTATGTTTGTGACAGCTGCATGCACATGTGAAGTTATTGGTAGACAAAGTCTCCCATCTCTTAAACCAAGAAATTTCCCTTGGCTAGCTAGAAATCTTTGAACTTCTGAGAATAGGAACCCTACACCCAACTCCCTCATCTTACAGATAAGGAAACTAGGAGCCAGATTCACTGGGTCATGGAAGACTGTACGTCCCAATAGTTTTTTCTCCATTGTGCCATGTACCCATAGCATTTAATTTAGAAGTGCTTAGTTACTAGATTTTAAAGATAATCAGAATAGGAAAATAATTTTATTACTGTAATTTAACATATATAATTATAATATCCTTATACGCATTTAGTTATAATTAGAAGAGAAGTTACTAAGAGAGGTAAATTTTGGGGGCAAAATCTGACATTAAATGCATATTATACTCAGGGGTATTAGTCCATGAGGCCTGCAAGTGCAATTCAGATCAGCCTAAATATAATCTACTAGAGGCCTCTTGCATTCCGGGAGCCCTCAGGGGATGTCCGACTGCTTGCCAGCCATGAGCCCAGCTCAGGGCTTCTGGCTGAGCAGTGCTCCCCCCCGGGGGAGTGCCTGACCACCAGGGGGCACCTCCTGCTTTGGGTGTCTGCCCCTTGGTCATCAGGCACATCATAGCAACCTGTCATTCCACAGTTCAGTCAATTTTCATTTTAGCCTTTTATTATCTCTTTCTCCATTTAAAAGCCCATCAACTAGAATGGCAGAATGACTGGTGGCTATGACGCACTGCAGCAACCAACCAGCCTGATCTGGGTCCTGATTGCCTGCTTCCCCTCTTTCTCCCCCTGTCCCAGCCAGCCCAGAAGCTGATCAGGAATGGGGCAGGCTGGCCAACAGCCCGTGGCCCCTACCCCCTGCCATCTGGGCCCAATGGCCCCCCATTGGGGTGGGCCATGTGGTCTCTACCCATGCCCAAATTTGTGCACTGGGACTTTAGTACAGGATAGTCACTGATAAAAAATGTACTATTTTAGAACTTGCTTCTTTTCCATAAAACCGATGATATCATTCCTTAGTCTTCCTATATAGAATGAATACTAACTGGAATATTATCTCAGTTTGAAACATAGAGAGGATCTTTGAGCAATATAGGTTTCTCCAGCTAACCCAGAAGATGGTGTTTCAGCTCTCATACTCTGCTATTCAAGACTTTGGGAAGGCACTTAAAAAGGTGAATAAGAGGTAACAGACAGGACATGGAGGGGTGGTGGAAAAGAAGATAATATAACTTAATTACCTCTTAACTTTCTATTTGATAACATGTATAAAATTCCACTAATTTTATTAGAGGAGCATGATTTTTAGTTTGAATATATAGAAACAGAACAAATTAGTTTACAGTTTTCAAGCATTTTCATAAAACTTTTGTTTACTAGCTATAAAGACCAGAGCTTGTATCTTTAAAAAAGTAAAAATAAAATACCATTAAATTAAAAAGCAGATTCAAGATGTTATATATTTGTACTAATAATTCTCCACATTTTTATTGATATGTAAACTAGTTTCTAAAAATTGACCCAATAAGTAGGAACATAGAGATAACCAATTAGATAACACTGCTTTTGTATTTTCCTTGCAATGAGAAACTGTATATATTTTGATAAAGGGACACAACTCTCCTCAGCAACTAGCTATGTATTATGACGAATTCCTGAGCAATTACAGAACTTTTCTGGAATGCCCAGTGGTCTCTAGATAAATTCCTTCTCCCTGTATGGTAACAACTTGTCAGGTAGAATCATTTCCTGTTTTTATCTTAGTACTAAAAGAACCTTGATGAGTTTGGGATGAGTCATGGTGTGTCCCTTTCTTACTATCAGTAACTTTTAAGCATAAAAGATAACAATATTTATTCTCTTAACTGAATTTTGCTCATTACAAAATACACTTTGGCTCAACAAGTAGTCAATAGCAGACTATCACTGATCATCAAAAGCATGGTATCTTTACACATATTTTAATTACTTTTTCTTTAAAGAGTATGGACTTTAATTCTGCTAGAATTTCCTGTGTTCTTCCACACCAGCGTCATAGGAAATCCTAATGTTCTCAAGATTTCTTTTATTGCATTGCACCTGCTTTTCAGGATCAACAAGTTAGGTTAAAAGCTTCAAGTCTCAAATGCAAAATACTTACTTGTGGGTGAAATAAGAATCCTGGAGAAGGTCTCAAGTATTTCTCTTTTAAAGCTTCAAGTGGGTCAGTTAGTTTTCTTTTCTCTACTCTGAAAGGTTAAAATTAGATTTGGGATATGAATCAGACTTGTATATCAATTACTACATAATCCCTAACATTTAAAACAAGTCACAGTAAAGCAAATGGGAGGTTTTTGGAAAGCATACTAATAAAAATATGAAGACATCTGTTCAGTTCTTAGAATATGTATAGCACTTCTAGGCATGCAAAGAGAGAAGGTCCTAATTAAATGGAAAAATCCTGTTGAATGACTAATCATTATAATGAGGAAATAAAAAAAAAATGAAGAGTCACGAAATCAGAGGCAACTGGGGATAAGTCTGTACCTTTTCACTTCACGTGTAGATAAGAATTCTTGGTGATTTTGAAATCATGAGAACAGGGTTCATTTTGAAAATTAAAGTAATTTTCTACCAAGAAGGTTCCCCCCCAAAAAAATACTCATAAATATCTTCCATTTCTGCCAATAATGGCAGGAGAGTTTCTAAGCATACTGTACACCATGCTAGTCACTCTTTGAGGTGTAAGTATCTTTTTTTGGATGCTACCACTGATAAACAGGGCAGGTAAAAAGGGGTGGGTGGGAAGGGATAAAGATCTTTTTAAAGATAGAGAGCAACATCCAAAACTTATATAGATGCCCTCTGCATTGGAAATGTTTGTCATTCTATTTACTTTAAAAAAAAAAAAATATATATATATATATATATATATATATATATATATATATAATTTTTTTACAGAGAGGAAGGGAGAGGGAGAGAAAGAGACATCGATGAGAGAGAAAAGTCAATCAGCTACCTCCTGCACACCCCCTACTGGGGATGTGCCCACAACCAAGGTACATGCCCTTGACTGGAATTGAACCTGGGACCCCTGAGTCCACAGGCCGATGCTCTATCCACTGAGCCAAACCAACTAGGGCTGTCATTTTATTTTCTATTAAGCATATAGGAAATGACATGAGTTGAATTATTATTATTATTATTTTTAGCAACTGTGGGTAAGCTTCTTTTAAAAGCTTGAATAAGTACACTTTTAAAATGGAATCAAAATGAATAAAAACAATTACCATTGAAATTTTATATATGCTAGTTTTGCATACACTATTTCACTTATTAAAATGGGACCTCTTCTATCCTTTTGATGAGGGAAAAAAAGGTTTAATGCAGGGAAAGAGGAAATTTCAACTTAGTTCTTATACTAAAAGGGATGTAGTCCTTTCACAAGTGTGGTAGAATGACAGGCCTAAGGCCTTAATTGAGGCAAATACCAGAGAGAAGATTGAGATAAGCAAAAGGAAAGTTAGGAGGTGGTAGAGACGAATATAATGGTTTAATGAAGGAACTGAAAATCCATCTCATTGGGAGGGTCTAAGAAAGAGAGTCTGAGAAATGACCTTCATAAAGGACTACCACATATCACTGAGTTGAAAGTAGAACTCTATGAGCAATGTGCAACAGACAACCTACACCCAAAACAGGACAGCTCTGCTTCCCCTTCTTGTTCCTTCTCTAGTATTGGGTCTGCCACAGAAATTAAAATTAAGATATATTGTTTTTTGGGAGGGGGGGTACCCAAGCATGATATACCGATGACTCAGATATTTTTGAAAGTCCTTTTTTTTTTATTTCCCTTGTCATGTTCAAGTAAAAGTATCCTTTAACATACTAGCAATGTTTCTTGTTTAATGTGTTGTAGATAATATAGGTTGAAAAGTTTTAAATAATAAATTTTGCAACTCTAGTACTTATTAAGCAAAAGAAATTCAATAAGTATTATTAAATGAAAGAATAGATTGTCTCTTGTGCTGGCTGGGTAATTCAATTAGTTAGAGCATCGTCCTGATACACCATGATTATGGGTTAAATCCCTGGTCAGGGCACATACAAGAATCAATTAATGAATGCATAGTAGAACAAGAAATTGATATTCTCCCTCCCCCCCCCTCTCTCTCTCTCTCTCTCCATCTCTCTTCTCTCCTTTCCCCTCTCTCTTTCTTAAATCAATTAAAAACCAATTGCCTCTTCATAAAAGAGAACCTGAGAAAAATATGCAAATACTTTCAACTTAAATAAGTCCAATACAAAAGTATCTACATCTCCCATTAACTCCTAATGGTGTTCAAAATTTGGATGAGAAAGAAAATGTGGAAATGGTAATATTTAAAATACATAATAAGCATAATTACTGTTATTCATACCTTTTAAAGAAAACTAGTATTTTAAAACGAAATCATTCTGAGTGGTCAAATGAGTGTTACAGTATGCTGTATAACAACCTTTTTATTAAGCATATATGTATCCCCCAAAGAATTTTTGGGTGCATTAAAGGAAACTGGATAATGAAAGCATTAAACAAATATGTGTTTTCTTAAGCCAACCACTCACGTTATATACAAAACATTTTTGTGATTAATATTTCACTTACTTGGGGCTCCTAACACATTTATTTAGAAACATAACATGAGCAGTGTTTATCAAGGATTGTTGTTAGGTTAACAAAGCATAAACTCTTCCTGTTCTGTGTCCCATCTCATTCCAAATCACCTGACCCATTTAAGTGCCCACACATATTTGCATTAATCCTTCAGGAGCCTCATTCTTCCGCCACTTGACAACTTGCTTTAAATATGACTTTCCCATATTTTCCACTTTAAAAAAAAGTGTTTAAAAATAAATTTATTGTCAAGGGAAAGAACTCTGTGGGTCTATTCCAAAGCCCCACATTCAGAGTTATCCAAAAATAAGTCCAAACTTCAACTTTCTGAATAAAGACGAATCCACTTGCTCAAAAAAACCTTCTCTCTCTGTTTTAGAATAATAATTAAAATGATTTGTTCAACACTATACCTCCAAAGGGTAAACACTAGCTTTCATGTCTATGTTCACATGTAAGCGTTTCCCATCTACCCTTACCTGTAGATGGGATCCATGAAGAAAGGAGTGGGTCTAGCATGCTGCAAGGAACCATCCGATGCAGATCTTGGTTCAATGTTGCTTCCTTTCTTTTCCCCAAACACATGGTTTTTTCGAGGCTCAGTAAGCTTTGTTCCACTGGCTCTACTCCTACTGCCCATGCTTAGATCCAGGGGCTGGTCTTGACTTGTGGCTGGCGTGGCTGAAGGCTTGGAGGGTACTGGAGTCAAGGGCTTCTCATCCTTTCGCTTAGTGGTGAGATCAAAGGGAGACTCAGAGCTTCCCTTCTGCAGTTTCTTTACTTCACTTGGTGATTGGGGTTCCATTTTCAAGGGTAACGATCTCAAGTCTCTATCAGGAAATGGGTACATTGACTGAGAGAATGCTGGAAAAAACGGGAGGGGAAACATGGAAGGGTAAGGTAAAGCTCCAACTTTTTTGTCTTGCAGCCCCACCAGTCCTGTTGAACCAAAGTATTTTTCAGCAATAGAAGCAATAGCCTTTATAGAATCATTCACAGCTCCTGACACCGCAGTTTGCTCCTCTAAAGATGGTGAGAAAATGGAATGATTGCTGTATTCTTTCTTATTATGTATTGAAGCCAGATTCTGAAGAGAGCTTACTTTGTCTTTGAACATTTTACCATTTTCTTTAAATTTTTCTTTATCACTTTCAATGTCACTTTCCAGATCAGAGCCCGAGGTTGTCTCCAGGTCACTGCCACTTGGCGTACTGACATCATCAAGGTCACTACTCTCTGACTGGTCACTGATTTTCTCAAGGGGCCTCTCTTCAGAGGACCTCTCGGGCTGCAGCTCCACTGGCTTATTGTCCCCTACAGGTGGGTGTTTAGATAGTGCCTTCAAAATATCCTGTGTAGCTGGCAGTATCTGAGGATGTGTCATGAGGGGACTTTGACTTTTGTTTGTCTGTTCAGTACTTGATAGTCCTTTAACAGGAGAACTAGCAGGTATCAAAGGAGGCCTGTGGTACAAGCCGGAAGGAAACAGACCAGGGAAGCTAAAAGAAAATCCAGGAGCTGTTGGAAAGGTAAGACCAGCAGGATGCCTATTGGCACCGAAATAGTCAGCAAGGCCCGGGTTGGCATGACTCATATTAACCATGGACGTTTTATCCATAGCTGGGGTTCCAGGAAGTGAAATGCCTTGGCCAAAAAATCCACCTGCCGCAAAATGGTTCTTGCCCTCACAAAACCTCCTGTGTTTATTTAAGGAAGACGTAGTGCTGAACATTTGTCCACAGTCTTTGCACTTGATTTGGGTTCTGCAATCAGCATGCATGCGCTTATGACGACAAAGGTTTGAAAACTGAGTATAGGATTTATGGCAGACCTCACCTGTGTGCAAACAACAAAAAAGAATCTCAGGCTTTATGGCAATTGCTTCTGAATTTAGCAAGTATCACAATTGGTTTACCCGAAATGTCAATTAGGAAGCCAGGAATAGATGCTGGAGGCACCAATCTGGGCGCTCCAAACATAGAAAACCCCATTTCACTAGATTCCAAAGCAAGGCATCCAACCTGACAAATGTCTTAAGGCAGCACAATCATTTCATAAATAGAAAAATATTTCTATCATCCCCATTGCACGATATTTTGCATAATATTTTTGTCTTTAAATATTCATGAAAAAGTCAAACCCCAGCATACATTGACTTTTCCCACCCAATGGCTACACTAACAGAAACTGCCAAATTAACGTCGTTAGAGATAACATGAAACATCACAGGAACCCCTTCAACAGTTTAGAGCATTTAAAGAACTCTATATTGTAGGCCCCAGAACAAAATAAAACAGCCTTTCCCTCAACCAGAAACTTCACCTTTATTCCCTCTCCCCTGGGAGAAAAAGCCTGTGACTGCTCTGCCATTATTTAATTTGAATTATATCATATGCTCGCATCATTCACACATCAAAGCCGCACAACAATGCACATTGTGTATTCTGAGTCATTTTTAACAATCATTTTCATGATTTCAGAAAGACTGACATAATTTACAATGGCTCTATTTTAAGCCTGCAAAGGAAACTAAATTGAATGTAGCCCATCCTGCATTGCTGGTTCCCATGAACTATGATCACGTCCTCTGACTTCCCCTCACACCAGTGGCTGTGCTAACCTTCCTGCATTTATGAAACCCCTGTCCTTGGGAAACATGTCCACTTGTTGTCATATCTTCACCGGTTATCTCAGGGCTTGACTTCTCTGTGCTACAGCCAACTACGGTGAAGCGGGTGAGGGGGTAGGGGGGAGGCACTCTGAATGCTCTCAGCCGGAAAGAACACAGCAGAGGGTGTGGCTGGGAAATCACCCTCTTCTCTGAGAATTTGCAAACAGTAGCACATATTCCTCCTTGAACATGTGGGAACAGATCTCATATATATATATATCAATAATATAAATATTATATTTTTTATTATATATGTATTTTATTGATTTTTCACAGAGAGGAAAGGAAAGTGATAGAGGGTTAGAAACATTGATCAGCTGCCTGCTACTGGGTATGTGCCCATAACCAAGGTACATGCCCTTGACTGGAATCAAACCTGGGACCCTTGAGTCCACAGGCCAAGGCTCTATCCACTGAGCCAAACCGGTTAGAGCAACTTCAGTATATTTTAAGACCAAACTTGGTAACCCTTGAAAACTCCTTTGCTAGCTAAGAATCCCACTTACTTCACGGTGCAGCAGGATTGTGGGATCCCTTTTCCTAAGCATCCCATTTTTATTTTACTTTAGTAAAGACTAGCCCACTTTACATGGGAGCTTAATGTAATGCTCCTGTGCAGGTTTAATAGATGCAGAAATATGATATGCCTCCTTGGTAATCGTTGAAACAAATTTATAGAAGAAATTAAATTGAAGACAAAACATAACATTTATGGCTTTCATGTGATGACTGTCCTTAAGCAGAGAATGGCTAAGCCCCTGAGTCAAAGCAGTAATAATTAAAAAATAAAACTCATGCAAAGGAGATTTACAGACCTTCAGTCACCCAAAACTCACCCAGAACTTGGATGCTCCCACACACCACTAAATAGGAAGCAACCAAGTGATTCCATATCTAGCTCTTTTATTACTAACAGTTAAAATGCATTACTACGTATATCAGTGTGCTTAGTAATATGAAAGGAGTTTTCAACTGTGGTATGATTCATAACATTGTTGAGAAGCATAATAAGCATCTTAACGGGAAAAGAATAAGCGAGTGATCACTTTTCAAATCATTATTCTGGAATATACCGACCAGAATCTCCTTTAAAAGTATATACTAGTTAACCATATACAATATGTGTGTGTGTGTGTGTGTGTGTGTGTGTGTGTGTGTGTGTATGACTTTAAATAGTATATATAATTAAATTCTTTGATATACTAATCAAAACCATATGACATAGAGGGTCGAAGCAGGAGACTTTCACCGGTTATACTAATTCAGCTATGAGCAATAACAAGGAATATTAAATGAAATGTTGGAATTATAAACGTACACTCATTAAGAAAGCGACACCCCCACTCTGGCCATTAAAATGTCTTAAGGGTATTCAACCAAGGTGGAAGTTTTCGAAGGGTTTGCAACTTTTTGGCAAAGAACCGCCGCCCTGGTACACTTCTTTCTGAGCGCTCCATGGATTTAAGAAAATCAAGAGCTTCTCTATATTGGAGTAGCAAAAGTGCATTGGACTGCCCTGGCTGTCCCGTGCGACACGGATGAGCGGTGTCTGTGAGCCATCTCAAGAACCCAGCATCTGGGATGTGTCCTTAGGCAGAGGCATTGCTTTTCTCACTTGAAGGCCTGGCCCACCACAAACCACCAGGCTTCCAGGTAAACGGCTCAATTGATGTTGAAATCTCTGCTGTACTGTAATTTTCTCAGTAATAACGAATTAGCCGGCAGTTAACATTGCGTTTTTCTACTTATTAAACAAATTAAGAGGTATTTTGAATATATTCAGCCTATTAGAGCATGTGGTTTCTATTTGGGAAGCTGGAGGTTTCTGGAAAGCAGTGAGTAATTACCTTAGCGATGGTGACTTTGGGCTCAGGCTTGGCGGTGCACTGTAATAAGAGACAGTTGCCATAAACACACCAGTGGGGGTACGGCGTGGTGTGTGGCCTTCTGGTGAGAAACAGATATCAACTCTAGGTGAACCTCCTCCACCCCAAAGCCTCCACACCAAGCTCCTCTTTTGTTCTGAAATTACATGGCTATTATTCATAATTACCCCATGGTGCTCTGTCAGATTTCTGTATTTGAAGAAAGCCATCTGCTATTTAAATTTACCAATAATTACTGAAAATACATTCGTGGGAAATCATTTGTGCAATCTAATTGGAAAGGGACACCCTATAGCACTTTAAAGTGAAATACTTGGCTTCGGCACAATTAAAATTCCAGATCCCGGAATCTCAGATGATAGCAGTCTGTATTTTTTCTGACTTTTATTTTAAATAACGGAGAAAGAAGCATTCGGGGGAGGGGGAGGGGGGAGTTGCTGATTTGTTGTGGTCTATTTCACTCCCCCTACTCTAGCAAAACTTACTACATTGATTAAAAATGTATTTCTGAAAAATCAGAAATAAATGAATTACGCCTGTGGTATTTGCAAGGACATGGTCAGAGCATGGCAAGCTAGAGTCCAGCGCTTTTTGAGACAAGAAGTCTAAAATGTCTATTGTATGCTTTATTTCCTGCGGCTTTCAACAGAGCTTCCCCGAGGGAGCCGAGGGCACCCTTTTGTTTATCAGCTACTCCTCTTCACTCCACCCAGGGAACATGTGAGCCAGACAGGACTCCAGTGTGCGCTGGGAAAGGCGGAGAGAGCTCTGCTGGTGCTTAAAAGCACAAAAGAGGGCTGTGTCAAGGCCAAGTGGAGGAGGGCTGGTCTCTGGCATCTCCACGTTGGCACTGAAAATTAGGTGTTTTTTATTTTCCACTAATTCCTGTAGTAGTGTCTCCTATAGGTACTACAGACCATCGAGTATTTGTCAAAAAACACTGTTTTGCAAGGGTTCCCAAGTCAGAGGTGGTGCCAGCAACCAAGTACGCTTCAACCAGTCCTAAGCTTATCTGGATCCAAAATCAGTCTTGACGTTTGCAGTGCAGCTCCATGAGTCCCTGTGTTTACATGCCCGGCCGAGCAATGGATCAAAAGGAGTCCAGAGACAGGAGCTGCCCAGATGGACCAAGAGCCGCTGGCTTTCCTGATGACATGATTCGGCACAATACAGAGACCAGGAGTGGGCGGACTGAAGAAGAACCGAACGAGGGCTTTATTTTGCTTTAATTGAAGCGTGTCACTAAAGCATTCAGATTCCACGTCTCCTGAAAACACACAAACTCACTACTACCTTCCATCTGCTCGGGGTGCCGTGAGTTACGGACGCAGCGTGTCTGGCATCAGAGTGAAAATGTTCTGCTTTCCAAGCAACTGAGAACCACCGACCCCCAGCCTGGGATCGGCAGCCAGAGGCAGGTTGAAGGGCATTTTCCTTCCTTCTCTCTCTCTCCACACACACACATACACACACACACACACACACACACACACACACACACAGCCCTAAGCCCACTCGCCAGGTGGGGCTCTTCCGGCTGTCTGATCCAGAACAGGTTTTTATCACTTTATCGTGGTTACTGGTATCTGCTGTTTGCTGTTTCACAAAAGCCACAGACATTTCCAGCGTGAGACCAATCTGGTCGTCACTTATTAAATCCTACAACCCAGGGAGGCTTCCCTCCCCATATTTAACGACTTCTCGTTCCCCTACCTGTTATTGATTCCATCTCAAAGAAAACACCCCGGGGACCATAGGCAAAAGACCACGGATCTGGTTTTAAAAGATTTGCTGGGATTAGAAAAATAGCCCGACTGGAATGGACCATAAAGAGCTAATGCGGAGACCCCTCTCTGATGGCCATGTGTGGCCATTCTCTTGATCACAGTGCCTTTTTGGACGAGAGACAGATGCAGGAAGAAGGGCTGGAGTGTTAAAAACTTACAGATAAAGGGCTTCACACTGCTGTGGATGTGCTTGTGTTGTTTGAGGCCCGATGAAGTGGCAAACGTTTTGCCACACTCAGGGCAAGCGTGGGCCCGGGCACCAACGTGCTGAGAGCGAATGTGCCGCTGAAGGTTGCTAGGGTCCGTGAAAACCTGCTAGGAAATGAGTACTGATTAATCGAGAAACTTAATCCAAGGACACAATAAAGAAGACCAGGAATCCTCAAGAAAGAATTTGGTTTATGTGTTTTGTTTTCATTTATTTTTTCCCCCCTGAAAACCAAAAGCTCCTCTAGAATCTAGGGAATGGACGGTGAGTCATTTAGCTTTATATCCTTAGCATGAAGAGCCCATTGTATCAGCTGAATGAAATAATTAATGCCATTATTAGACCATATTTGGGCCTTTTTTAATCCTAATTAGAAGTGATTGGAGTTGAATAATAAAATGATGCTGATCATGACATTATTAAAATGGTATGCTGGTTTCATCCTTTAAATAAAAGACACAATCTGTGCGAAATTGGGGAGCTTCTGACTAAAGTATTACACATCCATCCAAGGAGTTCCCCTCACTTAAATTCCAACACTGTATTTCAGTAAATTACTATTAAACAAAAATCATTCCTTTAGACATCTTACTAACAAACAAAAAATGAAGGAAAGAAAAGCCACCAATACATCTGGGAGCAAAACATCTCTAAAGATAATTTCAAATGTCACAATTTTCATGAGAAAAGTCATTCAAATATTATGAAAAGTTTTTGCAAACTGAAATAAACTTTCATAACATTGAGTTAACTGACAGACATGAACATTAAATGATCATTAATTAAATTAATTATCGTTCCTGTAAGGGTCAAGGAGAAGTGCATTCGTTTCACCCTCCCGTTGTTCTGCAACTGGGCACTAAGGAACTATCCCTTTAATTAGAATTAAGTTTAATTAGAATTTATGGTGGGGATCTGGGTGGGGAAATCTGCAAATGTGGAAGTCTCCCATTCTTTCTGAATAGGCATTCAGGAACTTTATGTGACTTCCTCACAAATTGCTATTAAAATAAATCAGTAATGTGCATTGGATAAAATTTTCATTCTCCGTAAGGCTATAAAACAACCCCATGCTGGCAAGCCAGTAGCGGAACCAGGAATTTACCGTGGATGTCTGACACCTAGTTCTGGAACTCACCATTAAGCCTCACTTCCTCCCTTACAAAAACAAAACGATACCCACTAAGTGTTTTTATACACTGCACTAATGCCTTTTAGCATACAGCACTCAGTCTACTTTTCTCAAGATATTTATAGTTTCCCCTCTCACGGCTTGTTTTTATATATCGTAGCAAGTGATAGATTAAGAGAGAGCAGGATGACAGAGAGCCAAGTAGTCTACAAATTCACTGTACCTTGGCACAATTTTCACATTCATAGTGCTTTCCACTGTCATGTGACATCTGGTGGCGAATTAAATTGGACTTCCAGTTAAACGCCTTGGGACACTGATCACACTTGTATTCCCTCTCTTCAGTATGTGACAACATGTGTTTCTCCAGGCTGTTAAGAGAACAATTAACTTCATAAAGACACGGTGACAAAGAATACATTCATACACAGAAGGTCATTTTATTACCAGTCCAACTTGGCAATTACAGAAATAAGAAGGAAAAGTTGTTGAGGTGAGGAGGAAGAAAGAAAGGAAACAGGCTTGCAACAGACAGAAGTACACTTTATGTTTCCCAGACTGTCTCCCACTAATGCAGAGAAGTGCCCGTGTTGTTAGGAAATAAATCTGCTACAGCTAGCAGGGACCAGGTGCCAATTTAGGGGCATGATAAACAAGTGGCTATTTGTCAAGCCTGGAGCCACTATACAATTCTGACAGTAACACATATTGCTAACACCCACTTAAATACAAACACTCAAATAGAAAATGTTAAGAAAATGCTTAAGAACATGCAAGCAGGTATACTATGTGATATATATGACCTCTAGATTCAAAAAAAATACTTATGTTTTTAGCCATGTCACCATATGGAAAGTGAGCTATAAGCTACCTATTCAATGTAACCCTGGGATAGATGAATGGACAAGCAGATGGACTGATGGATGAATAGGTCTGTGTATAGATGTAAAGGTATAAATATTATATATATTTATATATACATATATATATATATATATATATATATATGTGTATTAATGTTGGAGAATAAAAAAGTGTGTAATATTTTAAGTGAATGAAATCTTAAAAACCCTCAAAAGAAAAACATCAGAAGTTTCTCACATAGTTTCTCAGTTTTAAAACTTAGAATACTTTTTCTCAATTGTTTTTCCCTTTCTCTGAAACTGTATATGAAATCTGCATGAATACAATAAAAATAAATATTATAGATAATGGGTAAGTGTGGTATTCAGAAGGAGTTTGCAATATTTTTGCTAACTAAATACAAAAACACATAATGCAGACTCCCCCACATAAAGTCACCAGAGCTCCAATGGAGAAACAGCCTGTTTTCAAATTTAAATAACAAAATATACAAGAAGGGCCTTGAACATGTTATTATGGCAAAGAGCAATAAAGTTATAGATCATGTCAAAAGAACTAGGGTGCCAACTTGAGGTGATGCTCACTGAACATACATGAGGGAATTTAAGCATCAATAATAATAATCTCATCTTTTAACAATATCAATATTAAAAAACACACGAACAGAACATCACTGGTCATCCTTGGAAGCCGCTGGGAAGCCAGATAAGTATTCTGATTATGAATAAAACCACGCCCTGGTTGGTTTGGCTCAATGGATAGAGCGTCAACCTGTAGACTGAAGGGTTCCAGGTTTGATTCCAGCCAAGGGCACATGCCTGGGTTGCAGGCTCGATCCCCACTAGGGGGTGTGCAGGAGGCAGCCAATCAATGATTCTCTCTCATTGTTGATGCTTCAATCTCTCTCTCCTTCTCCCTTTCTCTCTAAAAATCAACAAATTATATATTTTTTAAAATAAAAGGGAAAAAAACCTCATCTACAGGCCCTATGTGAACGAGCAAATAAAGAATGAAGGGGAGATTCACTGTATGTAATTGATCCAGATAACGAATAAAGAAAGAATAATAGAACTAAAACATTCATTTTGCAACCCCTAAAGAATGAATGAATCAAGGCAACTCATTATGTACCTCCTGATAGAAATAAATAATACCAGGAATGAGGTAGTCTTCCCAAAACTTTGAACCTGTATGTGATCAAAGCTTGGGATATAACTCAATTTACAGGAAATAGGGGCCTGGAGAAAGATGTTCAACAACACCAAGGAGATACAATCAGCAGAATTCAGACTGGAGGAAATGCTCCAGGAAAACCTGCTCAGTTTCCTCTGTAAACAAATTGTAAATGAGAGGGAGAGAATAAATGAGAATGAGAGAACAGAAGAGAGGGAACAAACTTACTGACTTTCATTGGGGAACCTAAAAATTGATAGAGATATAAGTAGCATGTCAGCCTGTTGCAATGATGAGACTTATTTTGATCTTAATTCAAACCAACACTAACAATCATGAGATACTGGGGGAATTTGAACACTGACCAAAGAATATTTTATAATATTGAGGAATTATTATTCTTTAAGTGTATGTTGAACTTACATTTTATTTATTTATTTTTAAAATATATATTTATTGATTTTTTTACAGAGAGGAAGGGAGAGAGATAGAGAGCTAGAAACATCAATGAGAGAGAAACTTCGACCAGCTGCCTCTTGCACACCCACTACCGGGGATGTGCCCGCAACACACGTACATGCCCCTGACCGGAATTGAACCTGGGACTCTTCAGTCCGCAGACCAACGCTCCACCACTGAGCCAAACCGGTTTTGGCGTGAACTTACGTTTTAAAGAGTCTTTACTTTCTACAGATATATAATGAATTATTTATGAATAAAATGACATAATATCCAGAATTTGTTTCAAAAGGAGTATTTCTGAGACAAGACTGGCCTTATGTGATACTGAAACTGAGTATATGAGGTTTATCATATCATCCTCTTTAATTTTGTATGTGTTTTAAACTTTCATTAGGAAATATCACTTTAAAAATTCAACAACAATAAAAAAACAACAACTACCAAGCATACACACACTCTGTCTGTTCCATGTTTCATTTCTCTGTGAGATGACCACTGTAAATGTGAGTGTCAGCTAAGGTCTCTGTGCACCTTGAATATGTTATCCAGGGGGCATGTAGACTGAGTGTGTGAGGGTGTGTGAAAAATGTAATGCCCTTCCTCAGATCTTGATAAATTGGAAACACCTTTCTCCTACTTTTTCTCTTCCTCAGCTTCCTCCCTACATTTTTTTTTTTTTTATATTGGCACACAAACTCATTCTCCTGCCCCATGAGTCAGTCAAGCTGGAAGTGCTATTCTATTTGAGCACAAGTGGCGATATCTCTGTGAACAAAAGGTACCAGGAGAGTACAGGTGTGTGGAGTCACAAGAAAGGCCCTATCTTTATCTACGCTACATAATCCTCTGTTTGTTACACAAGGTGAAATGTTAGTGAGGGAGTTAGGAGAGAGATATCTTCAACTACAGGTAACATTGACTGAGTCAGGGACATCTTCCAAAATCACTGTACAGATTGCTATTCACACTGTTGTCCTTTACAACCCATGAAGGCATGCCACTTTAGGACAAACATTATATCCTAATATGTATGTCAAATCATTAGCTCTAGAAGCCAACAGTAAAAGATTGGCCTGTGGAGTCTTACTGCTGGTTCCCTAACTCCCAGGTAGGATATAGCTTTAAGAGGATACTAAATGGCACATGGGAGCGAAGGGGAGAGAAATAGCAAAGCAAGGGGAATTTTCCTTTCTTTACTTCTTCTAATTTAGCATAAAATCTGTATTGTTTCATGGAATTGTCATCTATCAAATAACAAATGATGGGGTTATAAAGCAAATGTGTGTGGCTTTCATAAGCATAGAAGCAAGCCAGTCAGTCATTACTGTGACTTCACTTTTCATAGAATTTTTATCCCAATTCAGAAAGCTTGTATCCCAAGTTATAGAAGTCTTTCTGGTTCTTTCCATGTTTTGTGTATCAACCTTGGTGTGTGTGTCTGTGAGTGTGTGTGTGTGTGTGTGTGTGTGTGTGTGTGTGTTTAATCTTTTTGGGAGTGGGAAGAGAGTGTTCTTTTCTCACCATTTTTACAGAAAAGATACAGGACAGAAGAACATTATGTCAAGAAAGAATTTTTCTCTTGTTTCAAGAATTAAAAAAAATACAGGATTCAATAAAGTGGAAATATCTAAAGAATGTAGGTTCCACACAAGACTAAATTATATAACCATTTGGATGCTCCACACCAGGTTTCACAATGACATGCTATATCCATCCAACTGAGTTACCAAAAAGTGAATTTTGAGGGCTCATCCAGTACCAGATAATTAGGTTTCCTTATTGTTTTCCACTGACAGTGGGTTTTGGCATTAAGCAGAGTTAACTGAGGCTTAATCTTTCTTAACTGAGGCTTAGTCAGAGTTTGAAGCTTTCTCCCCATAAGAAATATTGCTATGCCCTTCTAGTAGGAAAGAGAAATTACATTTTAGTGTTTAGTCTGTCCATTTTTGTTTTATAAGGCAGACCTTTATTTTTTATAATGAAATTATAGGAAGTAGACTTAATCTCTGGCATCAGAGGTATTGCTTTGCAGTAGAAATACGTGTTTTATCCACTGGAATTTATTATTTGTATTCTGTTTCCAAATTTGGACACAATTATAGATATTTAAGAGACATGCTGTAACTTTTTTACCAATCCATGTTTTAACAAACATAAACAGATATAGTCTCTATATAACAGATTTAGTCTCTATGCAAATTTATGTCAAACATAAACAGATATCGTCTCTGTATAACAGATTTAGTCTCTATGCAAATTTATGTCAAGCAGTAAAGATGCATTTAAAGGGTACTAGGAAAGCCCTCTTATTCCCCAAAATGTTTTCTCTCTAATAACTAAATTAGGCCTCGGTTTTCAAAGCTAAAGATTCAATCTTTTGATTCAGTTTCCTCAAGGACCGACTTATGCTTGATCCCTTTTTAGTCATTTATGCATGAAAATAAATGACTATTATATGAAATTGTTTCCTATAAGAGGTCTCCTCAGAGAAGGAGCGGGCAATCAATGGAGGTGAAAAGGAGAGGGAAGAAGAGGAGACATTAAGGAAAGAAAGGAAACAAGATGACAAAGGGAAAGAAGAGGAGTACCCAAGACAAACGGAGTAATTCATACTCTTTAAAAGGTCCCGTTAATATACCACCATGCTCATCTAAATACAATGGCATTCCGGTCACTTGAAATTTTGATTATGGGATCCAAGGGTCATTTTCTCATTTAAAAGCAAAAGAATGGATACAATTATTAGCATTGTTCGTGGACCAAGGCAAAAAACATTAGGTAGAAACAAACAAACAAAAAAATCTATTAGCTGGTTATGTACATCTCTGTTCTGAGAACCCAATTTGTAGCATAATTATTAGAAAGTTCCTTAGAGAGTGGGTTCCAGGGTTCTTGTTTTCTTTAATAGAAATGAAAAATATTCTTGAATGAAATTCAAAAGGCTATAAAAGTGTAAATATGATTAAAATGGGGTTTTCATTTTGGTGAAAATAGAATTAAAAAATTATTTCATTTTAGATCATGTTCATTTGTTTCCTTTGGGAAATTCACCAATTTCTCCACTGAGCATGTTTTTCTTATTCTTTTATGTATGTGCAGTTTAAATAGTTGAAACGAAATCCATGGGTTACACAGATCTATCAAAAGACCATCTTAAATGAGTAGCAGAAGAGATCTTTCTTAACATCTAAATGCTTCTAGAGGTAGCTTTACTGATTAGCATATGACTACTGTAATTAGCATCATAGCTATTCCAAGCAGTCCAAGCCTTCCTCTAAGTTATATATTCTGGCAATGTTAAGCTGGCAGTAACAATGCTTAAATAAAAAAACAAACATCATCTATCTGGTATCCAAATAACCCATTCCAACTTCACTGTAAATATTTTACAGATGAGAATTTCCCGAGAAGGGCGATTTCCAAACATGTACTAACACACTTATCAGGTTCATTGAGGTTCCAAAAGTTCCCATCTGCATAAATTCTGAAAGCTCAGCATAAGAACATTTTATCACAGAATAAACAAACATGTTTTGTAGCACAACATGCCATTGCTAACCTTTGCAAATCGGGAAAAACTTGGTCACATTCCTTACACTCCTGGATTGCATGTATCTCTCGGAGATCATTTTCACTTTCAAGTTTTTGTTGAAAGTCCTCTTCCACCATTGAAAAGGCCGAGTGCGGGGTGCTGCACGGGAACTTCTGGTGATCAGCTAGCTCAGCCTTGGACTCAAAGAGCTGGTCACAGTCCTCACAGCGATATTGCCGTTCTTCTGTGAATAGAATTCCAGTGTCACTAAAATTGGGAGATCAGGATGAGCCCCCACAACCCAGCAGGTATTATGGTATTAGGAAAGACATCGTAAAAATGACTTGATTTTCATTTCTACCACTTTAATTTTAATGTAGAGATAGCAAGAAAGGCAGGACAGAGCCTAGAACAATAACATAAGTGATTACTGTGGCTACAGTATAGACTGACTTCCTATTAGATAAAACCCTTCCAGGATTTAATATTCATGGGATATTAAAAGTAGCAATGACCACTTACTGAGCAGAATTTATTTCCTCAGTCTCATACATGGATTACTGCTATTCCTGAAAACCTGATTATAAGGAATCATATGTCATATTTTAATTCCAATTTTTAGATGAGGGTATTGAAGCTCAGAGAAGTTCAATAACCAGTTGGGGATTCTACAGCTAGGTGGTTGTGCCAGGATTTGAGCCCATCATTGTTTCACACACTTCTCACTGTGGGGACTGAGACACACAGTCCCCATTTGAGCCATGCTTAATTAAGCCTGGTTAATATCAGCAAGCTTGAAATACTTCATGACATTCACCATGACATATAATGGGACACAGGATGCTTTTAGGATTCGTTTAGGCTCGTTTAATGTTACCCCAGGGTCAGTGTCCATTGGCATGGGTTTGTTAAATAGCAAACATACCGTGAATTTGCACTTTAAATCAGTGAGATAAATAAAGGGTAGTAATGGGGACTGGCAACAACAAAGTTAGAACGTGTCAGGGAGTGATGGTATTATTTCTATTCTTCCCACTTGAATAGCATTTAGTCCACTCATGAGGCCACACGACTAGACCCACATCACATAGACACTACCCCAGGATCCTTGAAACTAGCTCACAATGCTGAAAGACACCCAGAGCAACAACAGAAGACACAATCCTGGTTTCTAGACCTACAGTCGGGACCTGTAGCCAGGTGTTCATTGACTGAATGTTTTTGAGGGAACAATTCAGTCACCAACTGAATGCTAGGCAATTTGCTGGAGAATTAATATGCAAGAAACTCAAGGGGACACACATGTGGACAAAGTGTGATATATTTTATGACAGGTGCATGCCTAGGGCCTAAGGAAGTTCAGAGGAATGTGATTAATCTACTTATCTGAGGGAGAGTTTCAGAAAATGTAATAAGCAAGAATCAGTCAGGTGAATTGGGATGAAGGCAGCGGAAACAACATGGACCAATGATGAAGGTGAGAAAGAGCATGACAGGCTCCCAGAAGGCCAAGCTACAGCGAAGCATGGCTGCTTTAGAGGGTGCATGTTGGGGAGGAGTGGGAAATGGAGCTAGAGACGGTAGCAGGTCACCAGGGGCTTTTTAGGTCCCTGCTAGGAAGAAAAGACAAAGCCATGGAAAGCTGGAATGCCCACAGAAACGGAAACGTGAGAAGCTAAGCAGACAGGTCTTCTGTAGTCTACATAGAGTACTAGTTTAAACAGTAACAGGGGACCAGGAAGGTAAAGAAATTAGGATGCAGATGATTAAGGAAGAAGGAGGCATTCTAAAATAAATCATCTCAGCTCTAAAGACAGGTCTCTCAATGAGATTCACTAGGTAATGAAAACATTTCCTATTGTCTGTTATGCTATCCACATATTTAAGATCTACATTTAGAGACCGTGGATGTCCGGCGCCATAGCCAGCAGTCTGAACACAAACAGAACCTTCAAAGCTACATAACAAGTGGGAAAGGCCTAGGTTTTAAAGACAGCTACACCTTGTTTTGAATGCTAACTCTAACACTTCCTAGCCATGTAGCCTTTGCCACTGTAGCCTCAGTCTTCCTATCTGTATAATGGAAATAATTCCTTCCCTACAGGTTTGATCTATGTGTAAAGATTAAATGAGATAATAAATGTAAAGCATATAATAGCTAGCACATAATATGTGCACAATGAAAATGTTTTATTTTCTCTTTCCTCAGAAACATTAAATCCTAGAAGTATAAAATGCGAAGCACCATTTAAGCATTACATATACCATGTATGGTATATGATACTGTGAAGACAAAAGGCAACTGATGGGTTCAAAGGTATTGTAAAGGAAGGTAATGTATGAAAGGCAACCCAGAAAGAAGAAGAGCCTTTTAGGCCTTTTAGAATAGTAAACGAATCATTTGAAGTTTCCAAAAATAATTGTTTGAAAACCTTTCTTAGATCTAACATTCACTAATGAAAGATGTCTTGTACCAAACAAAGCCCAGATTACATTTTTTTAGTTTATTATTTATTTATTTATTTATTTATTTATTTATTTATTTATTTTACCATCTAAACACTTCCTGCTGTCCCAGAACCCTTTTGGGGCAGACTTCCCATCGGGCAGACTTCCCATCACGTTCAAACTCTACCAGGCTCATTGACAACGTTTGTTTTTCTTAAACCACTTGCTCGCCAGAGTTTTTAAGAAGAACACAATTTCCAAAAGGCTCCCCCCCAAATATGACTGGTATAATCTACAAAGAGGTGGAACGCAGCTCAGCCAAAGGAAAAATGTTCAGCTAAAGAGGCAGCAAAGAGCTGGCGATCCTCCCAAGGAGCCACAGAGGCAGAGGCTGAGGTTCTCCCGGGATGCGGGAGGGAGGGGAGGTGGCATGATCTCCATCGTCAGCAAAGTCGGATGGCTTAGCCCTTCCCAGTGACCCTCCCAATCACAAGAGACACTCTAAAGACACCACTGAGATTAGGTTGAACTAAATCACATTATATTAGGAGAACTAGGAAAGAGAAAGTATCAAATTATCATCCCAATGATACAAATCAATACCAGAAGAAATTGTTTCCCTAATCTCCTCTAAACATACAACATTAGTAGTTATAATTCATTTTGATACCCCTTCCTTTGATTTAGAATACAAATTCCTTTGGTTCTAAAATTTCTTTGCTGTACTTCTCTCCCAAACCCCACACCACCTCCTACCCTCTCCCCTATGATCTTGCTGGCTAGCATTTTGCTCAAGTAGAAACTCTTCTCCCAGTAATAGGATATTAGATGGGAGAAAACATCCCTTGGATTTACAAAACTCAAAAGCAAGCTCTTTAGAATGGCTTTTGTATAATGAAAAGACTCTCATTGTTGTCAGAGGCATTGGCAAAAGGTTTAACTATGTGATGTCATGTCTCAGTCTAAATACTCAAAATTCGCCCTGCCTATGTGGCATAGTGGTTGAGTATCAACCTATGAACCAGGAGGTCACAATTCCATTCCCTATCAGGGCATATGCCTGGGTTGTGGACTCAATTCCCAGAGTAGGGGATGTGCAGAAGGCAACATATGAATGATTCCCTCTCATCATTGATGTTTCTCTCTCACTCCCTCTCCCCTTCATCTTTAAAATCAGTGTGTATATATTATATATATGTTTTTAAAAAGAAAAATAAATAAATAATAAGTAAGGAAATATTCCAATTTCTCTTTGACCTCCATTCCAGGAAAAATCTCTGCTTTCTTTAGCTTCCACAGTGATATTACCCAGATAGCAAACCAAGGAAGTAGCCACTTCAAGAGAAGGAATATGTTAACACTGACACTGACTAGCCATGAAAACCAATGCACACCAAGGCGGATGGACCCTCTCGGATGCTCCGTCAGTCTCCCAACGAGGGCAATGCGGACAAGGGCCTGGGCCATACTCACCGTGGATGTCCGGCGCCATAGTCTCATGGGGATAGTCTTCACTCTTCATGAACAGCAGGAGCTCCTCTCCCGGCGCGATGTCTGCGACTACTCGGTAAAATATCTTCACGAGACCGACAAAGGGGGTGGGGGTGGGAAGAAAGAATGCTAAGAGAAGGCCAGATAGACACTAAGATGTCTGCATTTTCTCACACCTCAACAAAAATATTCGTTTTGTGTTTTTGTGAAAAGTCATGCGACTTCGCATGTTATAAACTGAAAATGAGCCCTCCACTGATAAATGGAAAGCTGTGACTTCCAAGCGAGTCCACCAATCTTTTCCAAATCTGACTTCACAAATCAAGTTTTCTTTATGCAAGGCTTGGTGTCAGATATACCCTGTACCATGTTTAACACAGAACTTTTCCTTCTCTGAATTCCTCACTCTAGTGAACCACACACACAATCAGAGTGGAAAGCGTCTTGCATGAGCAGGCAATAGTCCAGCTAAGGGTGGCAAGGGCCACAATCACTTCCTTTGAGTATGTTCTCTCTCAAAAGTAGCACTTTCTCAACAAGGAATTTTTAAGGGGATAGTTTGGAAAGACATGCATGAAATAAAGAATGATGACAGCAAGATCTGTAGAAAACATAGTCAAAGGAGAGCAATTTTTTGTTTTTTAAAATGTAATCCCCCTCTCACCAATTAAGCCCTCATGCCCTTGCTCCTGATCCCACTCTTTGAAAGCAGGCATTATGCCTTCAATTGATTCATTGGGGTTTATTCCTCCTTGCTTTCTGGCAAAATGTTAAGGAGAGGAAGGATTTAATAAATCTGTTAATGACTAACTAAAATGCAGTAGAGCAAGTGTGAAAAGAACCCTGACCTATAATTTCTAAAGGGTGCACACCTTTCCCCTAACCAGCTCTGTGACCTTAGACAAGTCATTGAACAATTTATTTGTCCCAACTTCAGGATTTTTTCCATGTATAAAAGCATTTAATTTGTGATAGATACATAGAACCATTACGTTGCACGGTTTAATATACTGTTATATATCAGTTATATCTCAGTTATATCTCTGGGGAAATATTTAAGATGCTTATTTATTTTTGCCATTAAAATGTTTATTCTAAGATTATTTATTTATTAAAAAACAATTCCATAACTAGGTAGAGGTTACAGAAGAAAGAATTAAGTTATACAATTAACTGGTAAAAATTAGACCAATGACATTCACACACACACACACACCCCAAAAGCAATTTTTTTGTAATAACAAAAAAATAAGGATTCATTTCTGCTCAACCTCGTTCCAATGGTAGAGAAAAATCACGACGCAAATTGGCACACTCCTCTAAGAAATGGGAAGGATTATGTTTAAAAGACATCGTTCTAACTATGGTTTCTTGCAAGATCATTTGATCTTTCAGACTGAGAAGAGTAAATTAACATCTCATAAGGTCAACAGAAATGTGCGTCACGTTAGCTGTATTTATTTGTTTATCTTTGAGGAGCAGAGGACATTGGACATCAGTACGTGCCTCTTTATTCCAGTAGGTGGCTCTAAAGGCCAATTGTTTATTTTTCTACAAAAAGACCAGAGCACAAAATTGTGCTAAATTCAAAAAAGGATAACTCAATGAGAAGTAATTTTTGCTTAGCTTCTTTCCTGTTAAAATAAAACCTTTTCTTTTAATTTGCCCGCAACTTAACCAGGTGAAGCTAGTTTATATAGAAAATAATGGCAAACATAAAATGTTGTATATGTTCTAATATAACCTAAGATTATATCCATAGACAGAATCCAGACTATCTTAGAATTACCTGTGCTCTTTCTACAAAAACAAAAACAAAAAACACACAAAACAAAACAGAAAATTTACCATCTATAGCTTATTAAAAACTTAATTAACCTTCCTAGTTTACTTTCCTTGGAGAAAGAAAAAGAGAAGAACAGTTCTGCTCAAAAAGTTACCAGATTAAAAAAAAATTAGTGTGCATTTACTTTCTCCCCAAAACCTCCCAGTTAAATGCTTCTAAGTACTCTGTTCAACCTGGAGTTCTATTTCCCCTTAGAAAACAATGGACTTCTCTCAACAGTTTGAATCACCTCTTTTTTGGCATCTCTCAAAGGTTTAACTTATTAGCTTCCTTTCCAACAACATGTTGACATTTGAATTGTGACATATTAGAACTTTTCAGTGGCTTCTCGGAAATAGCGAGGTTAAAGAGACAATACCCTGCAAGACCGTAAAACAGAGTAGTTGTCTCTGCTGGGGAATGCTGCCTCGACACACATGCCAGGTCATTTTAAGGAACTATTATGATATCATTATTTCTTTGTAGTCCACTATTAATCATGTCTCTTTTAATTCCATTTTAGATTTACTGGTTCCAAAGAAACAAACAAAAAAAAAATGATGGATACATTATAACTATATATTATGAAGACAATTCTCTTTGTGGGGACATAGATCACTATTGTAATTTCCCTTTAAGTGTCCAGATTGTCATGTGAAGAATATTGAGTACATTAAAAAAATAAAATAAAAATAAAAGACACGGAAGAGTGTTGATGTTGGCTTTATTTACTGGAGGTAAAAGGTGACATTCCAGGCCATGAAAGGCAAGGCAAAGCAGAGTGGGTTTTCACTTCAGGGTGTTCTTTTCGATTTTAAGTGAATTTTTATGGTGCTCATGAAACTGAGGTTTGAAAAGAACTGGCAAGCTCCAGACGTTAGGAGGGCAGATTCTGGGCATGCTTCCTCATACAGCAATAAGAATGTGCCTCGAAGTCCCATCTACCACACCCTCACAAATCTGGTGCTTTGTGTTTCTTCAAGGTGTTGCTACCATGTGATATGTCCATTATATCTCATCTCCGATTATCTTACAGATGCTTAAGTAAAATTATGTTGTTCCTCCTATAATAACATTGGCCCAAGCATATAATTTGAACACTTAAATGCAGAGTTGTCTACATATAAAGTTAGTTTACGTTTTAGCAATAATAATACACCAGCAGGCACTTGAGAAGCGAAGGGTGTAGTTTAAAAAACAACAACAACAAAACAGAATGACAATTTGTTTCCTCAAAACAATTATGTGAGGGAATGCTGGAATGTAATCTTAGAGAAATCAAGCCATTCAGAAAATAAGATACCACCTTTATGCTTCTATGTTATAAAATAGGTGTTTCCGCAAATAAAAAATATAATTCAGAGCAGAGGTGAATTATGTAGCTTTTCCTGCAGGTTTGTATATTAAGTACGCTTGACCATGGTTATGAAAATAAAATTAGAATGTCTTTAAAATCACTGTAGCCTCAAAAATCTCAGCTATAGTGCAGTCGTATGAATTATATGTCATCTGACATATGTATCTGAAGCAGAGACACTACTAATATAACCTCTTTGGTTTTTGTGTTAGAGTAAAATAGAAGAAAATCATTTACTCTGTTAAATTACATAAAAGAGTTAATAGGTCTCCTCTTCCATCAGTGGGTTTTATGGAAAAAGTTATCTGGATCCAAAATAAAAATGTCCTGGATCTGTGATTTTGTGCTGAATTCAACTCGAGTATAAAGAGGCTCAAAAGTCTCAAAGACTTGGGAAGAGTTTGAATTGTTACAAATGAGTTGTTGCTTTCTTGCTTTGCTGTGTCTCTCTCATAATGCTCTATTAAAAGGAATATCTTAATCTCTCCCAGTATAAGGTGAAAGATAAGAGGACTGGGGCCTTATGATAATAGGGTTAGACAGGAATTCCATTTTGTAAAGGAATGATAAAATATTTTAAATACTGTTAAATATGATAAATGTTTGGATTCCTCTAGAGTTTTCTTTTTTGTTAGCTAATATCAAATTCCAGAAACCCAACAAGTTATAAAGATGGCTTACCTCTCCATGAATTTGAAACTTGAAATTTTATCAGGAAAAAAAAATTAATTTTCCCAGTATCTTGCTAGATTCTTTTTGTTGCTCCAGAAAGTTATATTTCTATTTTTAAAGCAAGGATATTACAGCTGCACTTGAATTGATAAGAATAAGTATTTATAGTAAATGTTTTAATAGATCCTTTTGTATTACATTTTTAAAATTTTGCTAAAATAGCATATGAATAAAATTGCTTAATATTCTTTAAATTCTAAATCATTTAGATACTTGAAAAAAATAAAACTAGAAATCTCCTAAATTGTTCACTCTTACTACTGATAAAATTTAAGGCATAAAGGTAAAATTGTTCATGTATATAGGCATTACTTTAAATATAATTGTTGTATTTAATTTATTTTAATCAAAATTTGAAACCAGTTCTAAATGCCAAAAGAATATCAATTCACTTAATATTCATAAAACTAAGCTAGGGATAAAAAGCAGTGATGATGAAAATTTGATTTAATAACTTTTACATTTCCAAAAGGTATATTTTCATACAATGTTATATATATAATTATATATGGTCTAGGGTATTTCATAAGTGGCATATAAAAGTGGCAAAGTACACATGTTGGGGGAATTTAAAAATTTGCATAAAATATTAGCAATCTCATATTTTATATATTAATATAATTGAGTACTTAATGGCATGTATTTGATTCTGATTATATATCATATAAATTATATACAATTATATATTATATACTGTATATAATTACATATTATATATAGTTGAAATTTTAATTAAACATTTTATTGAATATCCATTCTCTTTTGCTATTTAAGTGCAAGAGGATAGCCTCTAAGGAAGATGGGAACACATAAGCATTCTGATAGGAAAGTGAACAGGCTATAAAAGTCTTTCAGATTCTGCTTTATACTGTCAGGCCTGTGCTCAGCCTAATCCTCCATCAGATGGATGATGCTACCATTTGTATTTATAAATGGTAATAATGTGGGTTCTTGTTTATTATCCCATAAAATAGAGGACCCTAGAATCTGTCAGACCAGACTTGCTGTCTAGTTTGCTATGCTTGGATCGATTTAAAGTATTATGTTTGTACTATTGAAACAGAAGAAAAATCCAGTGCACAAGAGGCAAAACAAGAAAGGAAGAAAGCGTATCATTTAGTTTTAAAAGGATGAACAAGGCCTCATTGTTATGAATCCCTGTTTATTTTTC